CCTCGCTGTACCCCCTTCTCCCGCCACACACACACACACACACACACACACACACACACACACACCCGTTCCCCCTCTTTCGGACACAGTTTTGTCTCCCTCCTCCGCTCTTTCCTGTTTGCAGCCATGCTCATCCGGGTTTCGGAGCTGCTCTCTCTACCCGGTCCCAGGGCCCGTGTGATGCACTGCGCATTGGGGGGCGTGCTGGAGTGGTCGCTGAATGTGGGGGCGGGGCTGACGTGGGCTCAGGTAGGGAGGGGGGTGGGGGTAGGGGGGGGGGGGAAGACGAACCACGTGAACGAGTGAAGCTGCTGGCAATGAAAACGTGTACAAGAAGCAGAACTGACCACAAGGCGTTCCTGAAGGCGTCGACCTCGGGGTGATGTAGTGATGACGACATCGGAAACCTACCTACCTACCTAGCCGCCAAGACTAAAATAAGCGCGGAAGAAAAATAGCAAATGAAGCCGTAAATGAAGTAAAGGCGGCGAAGAAGTAGTAAAACTGATGGCGTGAGCTGGAATAAGTATTGCCGCCGGCGGCATTTTCGAGATAGTAGCAGGTTGGGGAGGTAAAGGGGGAGGGGGCTTTCTCTTCCCCTCACCTTAGTCTCTTGCAACTGGCCCTTTGCTTCGTTTGCGCCGTACATTGTGATCCAAAAGCAAAACCCTGTTTACGAGCTGCCGTACGGGTGTTCTGTTGTCGTTATGGCTTTTGCTGTTGTTGGGTTGCTATGCTCCCTTGGATCCATTTGCCGTATGTGGCTGTTGTGGCGGTACGACAGGTCCCGGCGCACGTCTTCGCCGCGCACTGTACGGCAGCGGCTGATGCCATTGCCCAGGTCGTACCACCCCTCCTGGCGGCTAATGATCCGGGCTCCCTGGAGTCTTCAGGAGCTGAAAAAGATGACGACTGCTCGGATGGAGAGAGGTACGGGGCTTTGAGGTGTGTGTGTGTGTGTGTGTGTGTGTGAGAGAGAAAGAGAGAGAGGGGGGGAAGCGTACGGCAATGCAGTGGAGCTGGGGTTGGGGGTAGGAGGGCCAGGCAGGGTATATGTGTTTTGGCGGTTACTCTCTGGGGACGGGGGAGCGGAGGAGGGCACGGGGAGAACGCGGGGGGGGGGGGGAAAGACGAACCACGAGCGAGCGAAGCTGATGCCAAGGAAAGACTGATGCGCCCCAGAAGTAAAGAAGGCACAACTAACCAGTCGGCGGTTGTGAAGAAGTCGTCCTCGCGATGATGTTAGTAGTGATGATAAGACTAAAATAAGACTAAAATAAGAGCAGAAGACTAAAATAAGAGCAGAAGAAGAGAAGGTTAGACCCAAGCCGTGAAATAGTGAAGGTGGGTGTAAAGGCGGCGAAAAACTAATAAAAGCTGACGTGAGAAGAGAAAGGGATGGCGTGAGCTGGAGTAAAGTTTGCCGCCGGCCTGGCCGGGGTGAGGGGGAGCTAGACCTGGAGCAACTAAACACGGAAATCCAGGGTTCCAAGGATTCGTCCAGCCGCACACTTCGATCCCATCTCGTCTTCCCCCTCCCCCTCCCCCTTCCCAGCAGCTTCACTCGTTCGTGGTTCGTCTTTCCCCCTTCCCCCTTCGTTCCTCTAGAAGTTTTACTTCATACGTTTCGGCAGCCATGATGGTGATATATGTTCCCGTCACCCCGCCTCACAAATCGAGGACCTGCGGCTGAGTGTTTTTACCCGGTGTAGGGCCCTGCAACCCCTAAAAATCATTAATTCTCCCCCCCTTTCCCCCGCATACACACACACACACGCACACACACTCCCTCCCACAGTGACTCCTATTTAGGCAGCCTGGAGGACTCCGACGACCTGTCGCTGGGGGCCCAGGACGGCGGGGAAACAGAAAGTGCCGGCGGCACCGCCGCCGCCACCAGCCTGTCGGCGGTGTTGTTGCCGTACATAATGGCGTCGATGGCAGGTGCTGGAACGGCCGCCGCCCCCGCTACCGGTCCTTCCCAGTCAAAATCATCTTCTTATCTTACCGCCCAAATGAGTTTTTTGAGGCGCCGCGCCTGGGGGGCCCTGGGGGTGCTGGTGGAGAGAATGGAGAAATTTAGACTGGCTGTACGGGAGGAGAGAATGCAGGCGGCCGTGGACAAGGTACGACATTGTACGACACTGTACGACAGAGGTTTGTTATTCCACTATTGCACTATTTACTTTTGATTTTTTCGGTGATGGAGCTTTTAGCTTTTTGAAAGGGCGTCGGTCCGAAGAGTCCTCAACAGCAGAACTCGTGAACCGGTCGTGAACGGCCCCAAAGCTCCCCCGAAGCCCCAGAACTCATTCATCGCGAGGTTTGGGTCTCCAGTTGCCCTGTATCTACTGGGAATGTACGCTTGACCTCAGTAGGGATACCCCAGCAGCCTCCGGTGTGAGGAACTGGTCAGTGACCCAGGTCATCTTGCTCCTAACCCCAGCCCCAGAGGCTGCGGTGCCACTCGGGGCCCTCTTGCTAGCAGCTGGCAAGGTAGAGCTTTTCTTAATCTTAAGATTCGCGTTCATGTTTCTCATGTTTAAGGCGGGCGGCTTGGGTGGTTCGTCGTGGCCATCTTCACACCCACAAAGCACAATGGTACAAAAGATTGGATGAAAGATGACCACAGTTTAAAAAGAAGCTGATCACAACGGCGTTGTGGAGACATCGAAACACACACACGGGGTATGGGACCGTAATTTCTACAAATTACGGGCTCACGTGCTCGGGGTAACCATAAAATACGGTAATTGACGCTTTATGATTTAAGGGTCCAAATGTCCATTACACCGTAAGTTTTCACTCCTAGGTTTTACCCGAACCCGCACCCCCCCCCATCATCATCCCCCCCATCAAACCCTGGTAGCTTTAGGGAACCCGCGTTTTACTTGTGTGATTTTGCATGTTGTGTAACAACCTCTATAAGAATTACAACACCATGTCGCCGTACCCTCCACACCATACCCGGTGTACGGCAGGTATCCTCCTGTCGTGCAGAGCTGGTGGCCGCTCTCGTGGAGCTGGTCTCGGCGCTGGAGGCGGGGGGTGCGGGGAATAATGCAGATGTACGACTGGCAGCGCACGACGACGCGGTGTGGGCCCGATTGTCCACCTTCGCCGGGGGAGTGGGGCGAAGGAAGGTAGGAAAACACACATACACACACGCACACATAGCGGGTGGGCGGTGGGGGGTGGGAGAGAAAGCGAACGCGTAGAGGGGTGGGTAGCGGGGGGAGAGGGAGAGGGTTTGGGCAAGTACGGAAGTACGGACATATACACCACGCTGATGACACGTCTTTTATTGGGTAGCCTTCTAGGGCCTTATCTAGGGTACAGATCTTAACTTATGTGCCTACAGCTCCTATCTCACTCTTGATATGTCGTTTTGCCGTATATATGCCTTGTCGTACACCAATCAGCAATACCACAACAATCGGAAGACAAAGAAGGTTTTCCGCTTCGGTGTCGTCGTGACATGTTTCGCAGATGCCAGCAGCGCAGCAACGGTCGGTGGTTGAGGCTGTACGGCGGGCTAGCGGCCTCGAACTGATCCACCCGCTCAACCGCAAGCGGGGGGTGGAAGGGGACAGGTACAGCAGTGTACGGCTGGAAGCTGCGGCGGCCGATTACCGCCTCGCTGTGGATCTGGCTGAGAAGGAGGTGGGGGCTCCTGGCCAGCATCATGCTAATCTGGGCAGGGGGCGGGAGGGGGGAAACCAACCCAACCCCAACCCCAACTCCAACCCCAACCCCAACCTCCCCAACCCCGACCACAACCCCCACAACCCCAACCCCCAACCCCGACCCCCAACCACCCAACCCCCAACCACCCAACCCCTAATCCCAACCACCAACCTCAACCCTAACCCCTAACCCCCCAACCCCAAACCCAATCCACCAACCTACACCCAACCCCAACCCACCAACCCTACACCAAACCCCCAACCCTATCCCCAACCCCAACCCCAACCCCATCCCTACCACGCCATCACAAGGCCCGTCGAGTCCTCCGGGAGCTCTGCAGCCACCTGCATGGAGCTGGAACTGCTGGAGGTGGAGGAGGTGGAGGTGGAGGAGGAGGACCTGCGAGTTTCGGTCCCGACATGGGCCTCTCCTCCTCCCCCCCCACAGCCCCCCACCACCTCATGACGTTGCTGGCGGCTGCCGAGCTGTCCGTCGCCTTCACGGCGCTGGAGCGGCACGTGGCACGAACCAAGCAGGCGGGATGGAACTGGTGAGTCATCATCGTGAGACACCGGGGGGGGCCTCCCGGGGTGGGGTGGGTGGGGTTGGATTGGGGTGGGGGGGTGGGGGGGAGTTTATGATGTTGGTCGAACAAGGTTTGAAGGAGGGAAACGAAACACAGCGGAGAGCGTGTGAAAAAACACCAGCTGCCGGAGGTCTGGGAATGGGGGGGAACCGTGGGGACATGGGGGAATGAGGATGGGTGTTCCCCGTCCCCGGAGTCCCGGGGGTTAACGCAGGGCATACTAATGCGCTCAGCCCCCCTCCCCCGCAAATTCAACCGGAGCAATGCCCCCTTCTTCTCCCCGACCTTCCAGGCCAGCCATGCCTGCCGTACACTCGTTGTCGCCTTCGCCCTCGCAGCCAGAGGCGCAAGGCACGGGCGTGTCAGGGAGCGTGTCGGGTTTTGGTGATGTACGGCTGTGTCTTCCGGGTTTGTGGCCGTACTGGATGGACAAGCGGGGGGCGGTGGCCAATGACATCAGTCTGGCAGCCGGCAGAATGGCGCTCCTAACTGGGCCGAATATGGCGGGTAGGTAGTTGGGGGTTGGGGGGTTAGCGGTTAGGGAGCTGACAGTTGGCGGTTGGCATGAAGCGGAAGGCGTTGGTCTAAGGTTTGCGACCAAATTCGGCAGACGGTGCACCTCATTGGGGTCACGGCACGGAAGTACGGAAGATATGTGTATGTACGACATGTGCCTCGTAGTCACTGGTTCACAGGAAACTTGATAGGTCGTACTCCAGTAGCAGCAGTAGTAGCAGCAGCAGTAGCAGCAGGTGTCGGTGCAGTTCGGACGTCGACCCGCTGCTGGGCCGGGGTTTGGTTCCCCGCCTGCCGTGCCCTTTTCCCCCGGCCCCCTCCCCTCGTCTTCCCCCTCACCCGCCCGCCACCCCGGACACCGTCTCCCCCTTCCCGCCTGCCCGCAGTCCCCCCCACCTGCCCTTGACTTTGTATATCACCTCCCCCCTTCCACTCTCCCCCCCTTCCTTTCGCTTCACTCGTTTGTGGTTCGTCTTTCCCCTTCCTTTCTCCTCCCCCCACCACATACATACATACACACGCAGGTAAATCCACAGTCCTTCGCAGTGTCGCTGCAGCCGCCCTGCTCGCCACTTGCGGTCTCTCAGTACCGGCGGGGCCAGCTGGGGGGGGGAGGACGGCAAACACACACACCACCGACCACGTGCAATGCACCGAGGATGTGACGTCATCTTGGAGCTCACCTGGAGCCTCCCCCTCCCCCTCCTCCCCCCCCTCCACTGACTTCTTCGTACCCTGGCTGAGCCACGTGTCCCTCCGCAACTTCAGCGGTGACTCCCCCCTGGAGGGGAAGAGCGCATTTGCCGTGGAAATGGAGGATACAGCGTGAGGATGATTGGGGCCTGGGCGGTTTGAGGGGTTTGGGGCGGTGCGGGGGGGAGGGGGAGGGAGGGGGGAGGGGGAAAATGCGATTTGGAGTTGCGGGTCGGGGCCGTTGGGGGGAAGGGGTTTAGGGGTTGTTTCATTCGCGCTGTCGTACCCCACCCCTCGTTGTCCAGATTAGGACTCTGATGAAGGGCCGCCAGGGAGGCGCAGCTGCTCAACTGGTGAACCACCCAAGGCCTTCCTCCCTTTTGGGGCGACTGTCGGCAATTGACCGTTGGCTTCGTACGACATTATTATCATCATTGACGTGATTTACATCATCATCATCATTATCATTATCGTACTGCATGACTCCATCCCTATACAGATCTCCCTTTTTCCCCTCCCCCCGAAAACCCCCTTTCCCCCAAAAACGAATACACACACAAATATACACATACACACACAGCCACACTTTGGCAGTGGCCCAATCTGCTGGTCCCCGCTGTCTCGTACTCCTGGACGAGCTAGGCAAGGGTACGGAGGTGGTTTCGGGGTCCGCCTTGGCGGCCGCGGTGGTGGAGCAGCTGGTGACGGCGGGGGTGGCGGGGGTGTTTGCCACGCACCTGCACGACCTCGCCTACCTGCTGAGACCTCTGCAGCAGGCGGGCCGGCTGGAGTACTGGGCGATGCAGGTGGCGGAGGCGCCGCCGGCGGCGGCGGCGGCGGCAACCTCAACGGCGGCGTCGCTGCCGCTGCCGCTTCAGCTTCAGCCCACTCGTCGTGTGTTGGTGGGCCAGACTTGTCTTCGCAGCCTGGCGCTGCAGGTGGCGGCGGCGTGTGGGATGCAGGCGGATGTGTTGGCGGCGGCGGCGAGGTACGAGACACTGCTGAGCGACGTGATGCAGCGCGTCAGGCAGAGCATGTACGGCGACATGTATGACAGCACGTACGGCGGCGTTGGTGTGGCGGAACGCTTGGACATGACAAGGGTGATGTCAGGATCGGAGTCAGCCAGGGACCGAATGCTGCGGCTAGGCGGCGCCGCCGCCGGCATTGCTGTACAAGAGGACGAGCCGGCGGCAGCGGCTGTCCGGGACCAAGAGTCTCTGGGAAGCCGTACAAGTGGGGACCTGGCGGCGGAAGCGCCGTCGTTGTACGACTGGCAGCGTACGGCCATCTCAACGGCGACGGCGACGGCCACCGCCGCCGCCGTGCAGGAAAACATCTTTGACGGCGACGGTAACGGCGGCGGCGGCGACAGCGATTACGACACCCCGAATGAGGGGCCCGTTCTGCGCCCCTATTACGCGGAGGGGCCGCAGGCGGCGGTGGGTGCTGAGAGGGCGGCGGCGGCGGCGGCAGCGACGGCGGCGCCGACGGCGGCGGCGGTAACGGTGGCGGCAGTGATGGATTCCGAGGTGGACAGGTCCCAGGTACGTCTCCCCGCCCCGCTTTCCCCCCCCCCAAGGTCCTTGCCCCCCGCGGGCCGCTGCCGCGGTGGTTCGTGTTTCTGGTGTTGTGTCCGGATGCGATGTTGGATTGGAGGGGAGCCGCTGCTGCTCGCCTCGGGCTGTCCCCCGGCCCGTGCCCGCCTCGTGCACTTCTGGCTGGGTGGCTGGATCGCTGGATGTGCGTGTATATGTGTTTATGTGTCTGTACGTATGCATGTAGGTGTGGAGGGAGCCACGAAGGGCCCTCGTGCAGCTCTCCGATCGCAGTCCGGTAGCCTGTCAGGAACTGCCTTCGCCGTACAAAACACAAACACGCACGTGCCGTACTGTTCCATCTGGGTAACCGTTGCGGTTGGGGTCCGTCCTGCTTGGCTTGCTAACAACGTCTGCATTTCCGCCTTGTCCGTCTGTCTGTCTGTCTGTCTGTCTGTCTGTCCATCCCCCGGTACCGCAGCTGCTCCTCCCCGCGGCGGAGATGTTGCGGGAGGCAGTACGGCGGGCGATGGCGGCGGCGGGGGGTGGACCCATCGGTCCGGATGCAGGTGGGGGACGGGGGGGGGGTGCCTGAGGCGGGGACGGAGGTCATATGGTACGAAAGGTGAGATTCTCCTCTGTCCCAATATCCCGTGTAGAATATCCGTCTACCTCGGGCATCTGCTTCACTGGTCAGTGGTTCGTCTTACCCCCCCCCCCTTTTCCGCCCTCTCCCGCCGTTTTTACCCCCCCCCTCTCCCCCCCCCCCCGGTCCAGGTCAGCTCCACTGGGTGCGGCCGGAGTGGCGACCAGCCCCGGGGCACGTGGGGGAGGCCGTGGTGTACATACTGCTGTGAGTCCGTACGTCTGTCTGTCCGTGTCCTTGTGTGTCCCTTGTCCGTATGCTGTACGTCTCTATTTACCTCGCTCAGCCGGCTAGCAGGATGTGAGGGACTGGGGACAGGGGCCCATCCTCCCCATACTGCTTTACGCCGTACTATGACCTGCGATAGCATGGTTGGTCGTACATGTATTTACGGCGTGGAAGTGTAATTATTGAAAGGGAGCAGAGGATCAGGTGCGAGTGGGAGTGGTGTGTGATGCTGTGGAGGGGGGGAGGACTGGGGGCCTCTGGCCTGGGGGATGGCTTTAACCGGCCGAATCGGCGCAATTTAATAAATGGTGCGTTAAACCCAACCGAACCGAACCGAATCTTTTTCAATTTCCAATCCTTGCTGTTGTTATTGAGACCTGGGAGTTGTGACGCGGCGTTGAGGAGCAGAACCGGTCTAGACCGCTGGTTCGGAAAAACACACTGCTCGGAGCTCCCGGGGGGGGGGAGGAATGGGCGATGCCGAGGGGCGATACCCGAGTGACACCTGGGAGGAACTACAACACGCGTGTGCCCCCAGTTTCTCCTCCGCCCCGTCAAGTCAGGGGGGTTTGTCCCGCGGTCCTGTACGACTACGGAGCCGCCTCCCATGAACAGCCATGAACTGCTGCTGTCATGTCACGCTGCCGTGTTATTCTGCTACTGCTGCCACTGCTGCCACTGCTGCTACTGCTGTCACTGCCCTGGCCGCCGTGCTGGCACCCGCCCGTTGCTGTGCCCTCAGACGGTGGGATGGCTTGCTGTACGTGGGTGAGAGTGAGGACATCGCCACCCGGCTGCGGACCCACCGGGCCGGGGAGACCCGGGAGCGGCGGGCGGGGGGGAGGCAGCTGCTGGCGGGGCCGGGTAGGGAGGAGGAGGTGGCGGCGGGGGCGAAGGAGGTTGGGGGTTGGGGGTTGGGGGGGTTGGGGGGGTAGGGTGGGTAGGGTTTAGGGCGAGGTGAGGTCGGGGGGAGGGGAAGTATGGGCGCGAATGACGTTCAAGGTCGGAGGAGGGGCGAGTGAACGTCTGAAATATGAAAAGGGAGAGAGATGGGAGGCTCCGAACCCACTTGCCGAGTGGGTTTGCAGTTGGGTTGATAAGCCGGTGGTCGCTTCGGTGCCCTGGCGCGTCGCATTGGTCGGTTAGGTCTTGTCGCTCTGGACCCCGGACCTTTACTTTGGTGGTTTGGACTTGATGTACTTGATGTCCCCCATCACCTCCCTCCCTCCCTCGCCATCATCTCTTTCCTCGCGCCCTCCCCTCTACCTTCCCCTTCCCCCTTACATACACATACACACACACACACATACACACAGGCGGCAAGCGCAACGCCACCAGCCTGCACTGCGTCTACTCTGTGATACCTCGGAGTGCGGGGGGTAAGAGCGCGGCGTTGGACGTGGAGGCGGAGCTCATAGGGCGGCTGCAGAGGGAGGGCTGGGAGCTCAAGTCCGACCACGACAAGAAGCGGGACGGACTGCACCGGCCGCAGCTGCCCGTGCAGACGTAGCTAGCGGTGGCGGCCTCTGCGGCTGGAGGAGGAGGAGGAAGAGGAGGAGGAGGAGGAGGAGGAAGCGGCGGCCGTGTGGCTGTGGGCACCCAAGTGGGAGTCAAGGCGAGGTAGTCTGCGGTTAGGTGGCCGGGTGGTTTAGGATAAGATGCAAGGCTGCTGCTCGCGTACACAGAAATAAAACTCACTCACACATGAACTGACGCGGCAGGATGCGGGGCGAGGGGTGCGTTGTAGAATAGAGGGAGCCTCTGCGTGTGGGGAGAGGGGGAGGCGGCGTAGGGCGGCGGTATGCTGGTGTATGTCGGCAGTTTGTGTTGGTGGAGGTGGAGGAGCCTGCTGGTGTGGGTATACCTTGGGAAAGCCACAGACCAGCAGGAGGTGCCTTAGGGCGCCTCGTGTCCGTTGTTATTGGTGTGCATGTGTGTGTGTGCATGTATGTGTGTGTGTTTAAGGGGGCCGCCGCCGCCCTCCGTTTCGTTGTTTTTTATGCGGCAGGAGGCAGCCAACAGCAGCAGCAGCAGCAGCAACAACAAGATAACGATAGCACTAGCAGTAGCAGGGCCGTTGTCTGTTCGAACATCATGCGGCATCTGGATTTGAAGCCAGAGAAAATTGTATTAGTAGTGGTACTAGCACCAGTAGTAAGGGAGGGGGGGGTGTGATATTCGGGCTTAAGGTTGTCCTTCCTTCCTGTGGCTTTATTGTTTTTTACCATAAAGAGTGCAGTTACAGTACAGTGCAGTGCAGCTTTTTCTCTCTTCCGTGTGCTGTGTTGCTCTCTGGTTGGTGTCTTCTGGTTGGTGCCCTCTGGTTGTTACTGATGCAACACTGCCTCTCGCTGGGAAGCGAGCACAGACAGCATTATTGCCGGAGGGGGAATCGTACTGTGGGTGGCGGGTGTCGTGAGTGGCTGGATGGCGAGCTGGTGGCGAGCTGGCTGTTCTGGTGCCCGTGTGGAGGGCCGTACGTGGACCTTGCCGCAGCGGGTGCTAGACGGAAATCAGTTGTCAGTTGTCGGTTGTGTTTTGGGCTGGACGAGGCCCAGCAGCAGCAGGAGGTAGAAGGGGAGGAGGGGGAGGTTTTGGCAATTTATCCTGGGTTGGAGGCGCGTGTAGATGGGGCTGCAGGAGGTTGCGGGTACTTGATGTGAGATGTGAGAGGAGCAAGAGGCGGCAAATACTGCCCTCAAGGACCTGCACTGCTCAGGTACGACATGGCACGTGAGTGTGTGTATATGTGTATGTATGTAGTACATGCACGGCCCTACGCGGATGCGCCGGACGGGGGCGGAACGGATGATGGTCCTTGTGCTCCCCATCCCCGCCCTTCCACACCGACGGGGCCGACGTGCGCCCCCCGCCACGTCCGTCACGTCGTGCTCCTGTGTGAAAGTGATTTTTCCTGAATGCAAGGAAGGGGGAAGAGTCTTTCAGGTCGCTAAGCGGCAAGCGCGGCCTGTAGGCGACTGTTCCCGTGCCATTTGGTGCCCACACCCGCGTGCATCCTTACGTGAGCAACCCTGCTCAGGCGCCTCCCTCAACAAAAACACAGTCCCGCGGCCTAACACAGCGATCAGCCCGTAGCAAAGAGCTAATTGACTTATTACAAAAATATTATTACATTTCAATACAAGGGCCTTGCATGTAGAGGCGGATGAAGGGACGTGTAGCCCAGGGACAGGTGGGAGGATACATAGACCGCAAAACAATCGCAAAGCGTCGGTTAGCGTCCCATCCTTTTCATCGCCATGCGACAAATATATTATGAACCTTTTTTCGTTCTTCAACAACAACGCCGTCAACGGCCTAAACAACCTACTCATATGGCCACCCGCTGCAGGCAGGCCGGACCCCCGACCAGCCAGCCATTAAGGGCCAAGCCAGCCAAAACAAGGACATGGGGATCACACGAACCCCCACACGCAGACGAACCGCGCAATCTACTTGCATGCCTTGCGGCAACGACCATGATAATTCATCTCCACAACATTCATCCATCCATTTATCCATCCACAAGATGCAGATCGCGGTTCATTGCAGACCGGAATAAAATCACAATCTTACAATACAGTCGCGTTCATTCATTTCTCTAAAACACGCACACATGTACGCGTCTAAGTAGATGACCAGCGCAGCAGGTGAGAGACTCGCGCGCGAGCTAACGGACGGTCCTCGCGGGCGGCATGCCGGAAAGCGAAAGGAAAAAGGCGTCGAGCGTTTGAGGCAAGGCAAGGGCGAGGCGAGAGAGCACAAAGCCCACTTGCTCGTCCTCCAAGCCAGGGAAATACGTTGCGAGGATGCCGTCGCCCAGCGGCGGTGGCACGCTGCGCTTTCATCCTACCTTGCTAAGAGAACAAGAACAAACTAGGTTAGCAGCAAAGCTGTGTGCCCAAAAGCACCTCTTTGTTAATGCGCAAGCACACACACACAAAAAACGCAACAACACACACACACACACGCGCAAGGACAAGCTTTGAAAGATCGACGCGCAAGGGAGAAAGAGGCTGAGTGCGCGCTGCTCTTGCTGAAAGCGAGCACGGGAGCGTTCATGCACAGCTCGACGGGGGGGTTCGCGTCACATGCTTTTCAGAAGGACAAGGGGAGGAAAGAGTGCAAACAAGCCGGCCGCAGTGCTTCTTGTCCAAACGCGTCATAAGTACCGCCACTACTTGGTGCGTGTAACTTGAGGGTAAACTCTTGTACGGAACAAACGGAACAAACAACCTGTACGGAAACACCACGTGCTCTTAATGAAATAACGAGCTGCATCACGGCATGCATCCCAGGGCAGCGTTGCAAATGCACCACATGCGCACTCCTCAGCTAGAATGCTGCCCGCAGGCCTTCCGTAAGGTTCAGGAAGGTGATGTGGCCTTCTTCACGGCGCGCCTGGACCGCCGTCGTGTACCGGATAAGTTCGACACCACGCCAAGGGAGCCGGGCCGTCCAGGCCACGATAGACGGCACCACGCGAGCGCACCCCGGTGCTGCTGCCAGGCAGGGAGGGCATATCAGGGAGTATAGCCACCACCACCAAGACGCTGCACGGGCAGGCCCGCTGCCTCCCCCACACAGACGCACGCACGTGCGAGTGCGCCGTGCGCACGGAATGCTTTTAAAGGACCCAAAGGCAGGTCGGTAGGCAGGTCGGTAGGCAGGTCGGTAGGCAGGTAGGTAGGTAGGTAGATAAGGAAGCCCGGGGAGGGATTGAGGAGGCGGAGGCGGAGGAGGAGGCGGCGGCGGAGGAGGAGGCGGAGGAGGAGGCGGACGCCCTCCGTGAGGTTAAGGACAGCAGAAGAGGAGTTCCGCGAGGCTGCGAACTGCAGCTGCCGCTGCTGCTGTTTGCTGCGAGTGGACCCCTCCAGCCGCACAGCGCCCCGCCGCGCGCGCTACGGAACCCCGAGCGGCCCCCTGCTCGTGGCTCTTCACCATCAAGCCAAATAAGCTGGGGTGGATGCAATACAGCGCATCCGTCCCGAGGAGAACGAAGTATCAACGGCTCCAAAAGACCTCATCAGCCTTTCCTCCCCCCCTGCCTCTGACCAGCTGACCACTTAAGCTGTTTAATGAATTTCATGTACAGCGCGCAGCGCGGCTTTGCGCCGTGAGTAGACCACATAAGCTGCGGCGGCGCCCAGCAGCACAGCAATGCCCAGACCCACGCCCAGCCCTGCGCCCAGCGCCATAGTCTGTGTGCGGTCCTTGCTTTCGTCAATCGCCAGCTGCTCCAGGCTCGGCGGTGTCAGCTTATTGACCTCTACCACCTGCAGGGCGGGGAGAAAAGGTGGTCAGCGAAGATGACACAAATGATGATATAATAAAAAGGATGACAACAGTGGACATCCTTTGGAAATTGCGCTGCTCAAGCAACGATTTATTAAACACCCGAATTTTAAATACACACCGAAAATATTATATATATGGGTATAAAATCTCCCTTCCAGTCAACAACAACGGTCAACAACAACAACAACAACAACAAGACGTAGTCGCGCGCCAGCCCCTGCGCTGTGTTTCGGCCCCCGGTCAGGGCCCCCGACGGTGCTCGTCCTTTCTCGGGACGAGAGCCGCCCACGGTGTAACACCCCCCTCTCCTCAACAAGAGGGCCAAGGTCACGGCACCGTAAGGGGCAGCAACAAATAAGCGAGTGAGAAAGGATACAAATGGAGGAACCGTATTGCACAGCAAAGGAATCCTAGGAAAAAAAATTGCAGTTCTCTGTCCTGCCCTTCCCCCGTTCCTCCTCCTCCTCCTTCCAACCTTTCCTCCTTCCAACCTTTCCTCCGCGCACCTGAACCAGAGTGGACAGGATGGGTGTGCTGATGAGGAATTCCGCACGGAAGGCGTTATCAAAGATGATAGACGGCGTGTTGACCAGCGTGAAGAGGTAGGTGGCGGCGGAGTTGGCATCCACCGCACCCGGCAGGCTCACCAGCATGCGGACCACAGTGGCGCCGTCGGTGGCGGTGTCCTGGAACAGCTCATACGGGCTCACCTGCCGGGCGGAGCGGGTGCGTGCGTCTATGAGACGATAATGATCATGCTGCTGATGGTGGATAACGGTAACAATGACGATAATGATGCTGCCGGTGCTAATGATGTTATTGCTGCTGCTGCTGCTGCTGATGATGATGATGGTGGTGGTGGTGGTGAGGGAGGGGAGAGGAATTGCTGTTGTGTTGTCGCGGGGTAACTTAACAATGGAGGCTGTGGTTACAGAAAGCAGGTAAACCAAACCCAAACCCAAATCCAAACCCCAACAAGTCCAAACCAAAAACAACACACACTCACACACAGGGAAACGGAAACCAAGACAACAGTAGCCGCAGCAGGCAACACACGGAATCCTCCCACCCTCCCTCCCCCACCACGCACCTGCGTGTCGCTGATGTTCCGGTAATAGGCGGCCACCTTCGCCGCCACCGCGCTCTGGAACAGCGCCGGCCTGCCCGGCTGGCTGGTCAGCGCGAGGAAGTCGAGCAGGAAGCGCAGCTCCATGCGGGCTGCCAGGGGGCTGGCGGGGGGGCTGGGGGGCGGGGGACTGGGGGGAAGGGGCGTGTAGCACAGGTACGGCTTCCTGCGGGGGCAGAAGTGGGTACATATGGTACGATATGGTGTGGGTCAGGTAGACCCCCGCGGCGGATGTAAGGGTAGTTGGGGGAGCGGGGTATCCAACGAGGGGAGCAAAAGAGGGGTTGGAAGTGCCGGTAGTGGTGGTCGCAGTCAAACCAAACATATCCGCTTCCCTAGAGCCATCGCCCCCTTTCCCCCTCAACGCCCCCGCCGTCGCTCCTCACATTCTCCCGGTGCTGTTGCGTTGTCAGATAGGACATCATCATCATCACCATCATCAGGTGACTTATCATGCCTAAGGTCCCGCGCCCTCCCTCCCTCCCTAACCACACCCAGCCACCCACCCCCGCCCACTTCCTGACGCTCACATGGTTAGGCAGTTGCGCACCAGCAGCTTGGGCCCTCGCTCCGTCTGCAGCATCCCTTGGAACGGCCCCACCATGCGATCCGTCATCGAGGCGCAGCAGCCCCGTGCGCTCTGCACACAGCTGGGGTCCAGCACCTGCACGTAGCTGTCGATGTCCACACCGTCGATGGCGGGCACCACACCGCCGTCAACGAACCTGTACGCGGTGTCGTTGTTGCGGCGGACCACGCCCACCCAGAACTCCGGCATGTAGTACAGGTTCCAAGCCTGGTCGAATATGTTGTACAGCTCCTGGTTGCCGCTGGGCCAGGCCGCCAGGGACATCTTATAGGAGCTGGGGGTCGCGGGTGGGTGGGGCGGGTGGGGCGGGTGGGTGGGGGAATCTGTTAATATAATAATAACCCACCACCGCCCACCCCACCCACCACTGGGGGATCTTGACGGCATCGGGATGTCCACCTCCCACCTCCCACGTCCTCTACCCCCACCCCTGACTTCACCCCCCACTCCTCCACCCAGTCACCCATCCATCCCCCAACCGCTTCCCTTCCCTACCATCAGCAGCAACAACAACCCCCCCACACACAACACTCCAGCTGGCCCCCAACCCCCACATCAGCCCCCACTCCCCCCCACTCCCGCCTACCTACCTACAGACCTCCTGTGCGGTGATCCAGCTAGCGGGTTCCGTGTACATGTAGTACGTGGACAAGCCGGTCTGGAAGGAGTAGATGTCAACACCTGTAAACAGACGGTGTGTGTGTGTATGTGTGCGTTTGGGGATGTGGGGAAGGGGGAGGGAACCAAAAAGGGGGGGGTGCAGGGGCAGAGTCCAGGGTCGGCAAGGGATGTGATGCGCGATGGGTTGGAAAGGACGGGGAGGTGTGCCCACATGCTCAGGGCGCCCCTATGTTGAATACCTCAACCATCTGTACGTACTTATATCATATATGTACGTCTGTCTGTCTGTATGTGTTTGTTAGTATTGGTACGCCTAGGTGGATGGACAGGAAAGAGCTCCGCCGAAAGGACCCCGGGGTGGAGTGGGAGGTATCGGGGTGCCGTACGCTGGGAGGCCCCCCAACCGCCGCGCTGGAAACTCACTTGACGGGGGGCTGGGCGGCGCCGGGGGCGCGTATGGGGGTCTGGGAGGAGGTGACGGGGGTGAGGGCGGTGATGGAGGGAAAGGCGGATCGGGGGAAGGAGGTGGCGGCCGGGGGGGAGGGGGTGGTGGGCTGGGGGGCAAGGGGCTCGGGGGTATTGGGGAGGGTGGGGGCGAAGGCGGCGGGGAGGGTGGGGGTCGCGGAGGCCGAGGCGAGGGAGGAGGCCGCGGCGGTTGCGGCGGTCGGGGCGATGGTTGACTCGCTCCTGCGCGTGGGGATGTTTTAAGAGGGGTTAGAGGGATAGATACATGACCAATATCTATTTGGGCTTTGAAATTACAGTTGGAAAGGAACACGGAACCAGAACAATCTGTTCGCGTGAATTTCGCGGAATGTGGAAACAGACGCGTCATCAGAGCCCAGGCCTCTTGTAGCCCACCTGGTTTAAGCGAGCTGAACAGGATAAGAAATGTGAGAAGCAAGGTCCTGCTCCATTTCTCAGGCAGAAGCCTTTGCGGACTTGGTCTCACACTTCTCGGCCTCCCCATGCAAGCGTTGTATCACTCCAAAAGCTTAAGGCATTAATTAAGAACGTTAAGGTAGCTGGCGTTCTGTAACGTGGAGTGGTGCAAGCTACATGGCTATTCGTCGCATAGCACCCAACAATGTCCTACAGAAAATCAGTGACTTAGGAGGGAACATTAAAGCCACTGGGCTACGTACAGTAACATGTACCAGTCCACTGCAGTTAATAACTCAATAGGAAAAAGCAAAATCTAATGGTCAAAAGAAAAGGTAGGTTCGAGCAGGAAGATTGACGCCCAAAGGTTACCACCAAGGAAATGCTCGATATAAAAACGATGTGCTGCGATACGTGCGTACACGCAGAACAATAGGCATGTACAGGTAGGGATGGGATTGTCGGCTTGTACGGCAGGAGCCAGAAGTTGCATAGCTCAGACGGGCATCCAGATGGCAGCAGCACATGCTTAATGTGAAGGCAATTAATGAAATTTGAAAGCCTGACACCGTAACTACCTGCGTATTTTGCAGCTGGGCTCTACCGGTGGCGTGGAGAAATTGATGTATTCTCTCCAAACAGTCCGGGACATCAGCGTCGCCCGCGAATGGAAGCTGTCAATCTGCACCTCTTGACTGCGGTTTGCTAAGGATGTGCTTCAATGTCACGCCGTCCCCGCACAACATGCCATCGGATGGAGCAGACCCCGTGGATTCATGACGCTTTCCCCAGCCTGCAGGCCCCAACCGCTTAACTATTTATTTTACTGATGTGTTTGCCAATAAACCTGCTCTCGTCGGTTCTCACATAGTTGTAAACCCGATCATGGTGATTGCGCCAGCCGGCATCTTTGGCTCAGCCGCCAAAAAGGACACACTTTTGGGAATCTACGCCCCCTTAGATTTTTTACGGATCGGATCCGGCCAGGTCCAGTGCCTGGCAGCGCCCCAACCGCGTGTGATGGGAAAACTGCACATAGGGGGATTTGATGTCGTGCGATTCCAAAACACAGTTCTATGGACCTTCGAACACACGTTCCTCATTCCGCCGTGGTGTATTGCCACCTCCCAATTTCACAAGCTCGGGCATTGCAGAAAAGGCCGATACGCTTGAAATGGTTTCGGGGCGGGTTCATTTACCGACTGACGCTTCTTCGGTGAATGCGAGCTGTGGTGGTGAGCTGAGCTGCCCCGCTCCGCCCAGGCGTGTGGCAGCTGAAAAACAGCGCCAGCTTTGCCGTGATTTCCTGCCTAGTCTCTGCTTGCGGCCCCGGTCGCGTTGCGTTGAGCAGGCCTTCAATGCCGCCATTAGCATTGCTTGCCCGCCTCGTCTGGCATTGCGAGCCACATCATCCCCAACATCACGCGGTCGTGCCAGACAAACTGCGTGTGTTTGCTGCTAGCTGATACACGGACGGTTTAAGGCTAACTGCTACTCTCGCGTATGCGTGGGGATGGTTTAGGTTACACTTAAGGTTAAAAAAAGGCTGAACGAATGGCTCGTGCTATTGTGCCCGGAACCGCAGACTCCAGAAACCCTCAGGCAGTGTTGGTGACAGGGTGCCGGGTTGACCAGCGGTTGGGAATGATGCAGGGTCCGCAGCTAGCGGGGGGATTGGGGGATGGGTGTGAGACCCGTAGCTGCCTCTCCTGGTTGTCAGCATCCGGAGTAGGGAGGATCCGCATCATGGCCCTACAGTCAAAGAAATTGGAAAACGTTTGCCCTTTCGTTCGGTCACCGCGGCAGTATGGGCGGGGGCGGGGAATGTGCATTTTTATATAGTCGAAGCACAGGGCTGCCGTGTGCACCCTTTCACAGGGTCAGGCCGCTGCTTGTCGCGCTATGACCGGCAAGGTACATGTGTATCTAGGAGGGTAGAATTTTGACGGGGGGGATGTATCGTTTACGGAAGCCTTGCCATGAAAGCGCTGGCGGTGACAGTATTATTATGATGTGCTATTACGTTCGCTAGGCACCTCGCCTCAGCGCTGCTGAATGTCCTGTCGTTTCGGGTATATCTGTTCTAACATGTTTCGTTGTTAGTCTTATCTTCGTACTATCACTGCGCAGCAGCGCGGCGGGAACCCCATAGGTGAGGAAACATGTGGGGTTACGACCTGCCGGGATTCCCGAACATAGGGGAACCCCGGCTCATGGCTGTGCATATACTTCAGACCTTTTCTGTTAAAACATATACACTGATTTGTCAATAGCCTTAAAAGCGCTGGAGTCTGAGGTTCTGCATCCGCGTACAGGCGAGAGGAAGTACGAAGGCGTACGGCGTACTGTGTTCAAGCAACGTGGACTAATCAGGTACCTAACCTTCAGTGCAACGTTAGCGTTAGGGACGTATCAAGGGTAGTCCAGCCATTTGCTTTCTACCCTTTGCGCGCCTTGAAAGGCGCAAGTTACATCAGTGTGTCGGCACTTGGTTCACACTCTATCGACTTGCCGCAAAGTTGTAAAAATGCAGAGGACTGGAGGCCTAGTGGCCCAGCTTGCTAGCGTTCAGCTTACTGGCGCGCTGCAGGAGCTAAAGACTGGGTGCGTTTGGAAAAAGGCATGCCTGCACAGTTTGAGGCTCTGATGCATAGAAGATATCATTTCCCTGGCCTATCCAATTTGCTTGGGCTGTTAAATGTGCAACGAAGCGATGCTAGGCTTGCCGAAAGTGGTGTGGTGTCAGGCTGTTCCACGTTGTTTGGTAGCACTTGAGTGAAGGCCGTTTGTGTTGGGAGGAGCATTAATTAACATTAGTCCGATAAGCTTCAGCAGCTCTCTGGAAACGAGGACGATACCCTGCGCAGGGTGCTGAGGGCTTTCAGCACGCAGGCGCCTGCAGCGGGCAATGTTGCTGCTCCTCCGCCTCCTCCGCCTCCTCCAGCTAAGACCTCCTTCGGCGGACTGAAGGATGATGATCGTATTTTCCAAAACATCTACGGCCGGCACGACACCAGCATCAAGGTGAAGCAGAAGCTCCTTCTTCCTTTTAATGGCTCTGCTTCCACTTTTTTGCAAGCTAGGGGGTCTCGTTTGTTTTGGCGTGCGCCTGTAAAGTTCAGCCTATTCTTCGCCGTGGCCTTCTAGTCATGCCAGGCAATGGCTAAGTTCTTACACCCAAAATTCATCACTTTTACAGGGTGCCATGTCTCGGGGCGACTGGTACATGACCAAGGAGCTCGTCCTGAAGGGCCGTGACTGGATTATCGACCAGATGAAGAAATCGGGCCTCCGTGGCCGCGGCGGTGCTGGCTTCCCCTCCGGTCTGAAGTGGAGCTTCATGCCAAAGGCGAGTGAATGATAGAGATGGGGCGGACAATACCCGGGGCCTTGAGGCCGCCCTCTTGTTGGGCTTCTACGTCACCTGCTTCAGTTCTGCTTGAGTACTGTTACCACCAGGAAGTGCGATCAAGTATTGATAAGGGCGGAGGGACGGCCCAGGCTGCACTATTATCTGGCGCAGTAGGGTCGGGATGGAGGGGTGGAAATCGGCTGCACACACCTTCATTCCTGTAACACGCCCACACGCCCACACGCCCACATCCAGTGGTTCGCCTTATCCCCCCACATCCCCACCCCCATGCAACTGCACCCTCACCCTCACCCCCACCCTCATCCCCAACATCACCCCGGATACTTCCGACCCTTCCCACCGGCCATTTTGCATACCACGTGCACACCCCTTTCCCCTCCCCCCGCCCCCCCCTCTACCGTCAGGCCTCTGACGGGCGACCCAGCTACCTGGTGGTGAACGGTGATGAGTCGGAGCCTGGCACGTGCAAGGACCGGGAGATCATGCGGCACGAGCCGCACAAGCTGGTGGAGGGCTGCCTCATTGCGGGAGTGGCCATGGGTGCGAGGGCGGGATACATCTACATTCGGTGGGTGTAGCCGGGAGCTGCGTGTGTGTGCTTGTGCGGGGTTGCGTGACGGCTTCAATGCGGTGACCACCATGGCAGTAATGACGGCCGAAGGAGTGGCGGGTGGGGTGGGGATAGGGCGGGCAGTGTATCTTAACAACGTGCATGGGGTCTGTAAGAAGTGCTTTACGTTTGAAGCAGGAGCGACTTCTGACGCGTGATGGTGCCATGCGCCTGGGGAAGGGACACTCGTACTCGTACTGCGTATGTATGTACATGCGAGCGCGTCGAGACTGGTAGCTGCTAAAGCCGAATTGATAAAGAGAGGGGTCGAAATGCCTTGCCTTGGGGATGAATCATGTTTTGGCGGCGGCCGCCTTTTACCCGCGGATTGATTGTTAGGATGGGGCCCCGGAGGAGGTGGGCTGTGAGAAGGGAGCGTGCTGGACTTGAAGTGAGGGCTTCCCGGAGGGTGTGTGTGCCACCGGTGGAAGAGTGCGTGTGTGTGCGTGTGGCCGCGGATTGCGGTGTCCATAAAAAGGTGGAGGAGCGTGGGATATGGGAGACGACAGTGCAGTAGGGGTGCAGGCCCGTGCAGACATGCTGGTAGGTTGTAGGGAAAGTCCGTTTTCGCGCGTAGGTGAAACCCTTTTAGGGTTTTGCAGCTGCGGAAAGAGGGTACGCTTGGTGGCGGTGTGGTGGCACGAACAGTAATGCATGTGTTTTTGCTAAGTTGATCTGCCCAGGATGGCGGGTTTGGAAGGCATTTGCTGCACTCGCGATACTGGGAAAGATGGCAAAGAAGTGGGGGGGGAGGGTTGGGGGCATCCAGTTGGCTGTTGATCTTCATCTTTGCTCTCCCGGTCGCCGCGAGGGCTGCCCAGGGGGGAACTCACCTCGGTTTAGGAACTCGGGCAGTATGTGTGTGCATGTGCGTGTCTGTGTGTGGGGGGGATAGAGGAAAAGGGGGGTAGGCTGGAAGGGAGGAGATCTGTTTATAGCTGTGTAGATCCCTGGGGTGTGATCCTGAACTCCGTGTGTGTGCGTTTGGGGGGGGGACAACTTGTAGGGGGGAGGGAAGGAGGGAAGTACAGGTTCTGATTGGACGTTGGATCGTGTTAGGCTGGCGCGGTGATCTAGTCAACCGGGGCGGCCAGAGTAATCTGTGCCCCCAGTAAGCTGCCTGTCTGGCTGTAAGCTGCCCAATGTGGCCGTAAGGGACCCTTTGCGCTGCCAGGTGTGCCGCCGGCCAGGTGTGCTGCTTGCACGTGCTTGTGTCGCACGTTCTACCATGCTCTTACCTGCCGGCCTGCCTGTTCTTTTTCTGCCGCTTGCGTGTATGGAGCCGGCTTGTATTGAAGTTGTTGGCCTACTCACCACCAGCTCACTCGCTTCATTCCCCTCCCTCCCTTCCTGTCGACCGCGCAGTGGCGAGTTCGTGAACGAGAGGCGCTCCGTGATGCGTGCCATTGACGAGGCCTACGCCAAGGTGGGGTCGGGAACTCGGGAGCCGGACTGGGGGAGGAACGCGGGGTCGGGCTGATGGAGGGGAGGGGAGTGGGCTGTATTGATGAATGGGACTTATACCCGTGTCGCTCCATCATTTTAAGAGGAAGTGGAGTGAGGCCCCCAGTGGAGAGTTTGACTCGCTAAGTCCCTTCTGTCGCCTCACCCCCACAGCAGGTCTTAACCACACAGGGCGACAACCCCGCAACAGGGCCCTCCCCCCTCCCTGGGCCCGGGGCCATCCTTCCATCCCGACCCTTCCCCTTCCCTTCCCTCCCCATTCCTCCCAACCCACCCCCCTTCACAGACCCATCTCCCTCCCGGGCCCTGAAGAACTCCCCGGGGGCCCGCTACCTCCTGATTCACTCTCTCCCCGTCCGCACCCGGCAGAGTGTGCCGCCTTACACAGGCGCCCCCCCCCCGTCTCTTACCACTCGTTCGTGGTTCGTCCTTCCCCCCCCCGTCTCTCACCCACCGCGTTTCATTCCGTCGCTCCCTCGCAGGGCTTCCTCGGTAAGAACGCCTGCGGTAGCGGCGTCGACTTCGACCTGATGGTGCACTACGGAGCGGGGGCGTACATCTGCGGCGAGGAAACGGCGCTTATCGAGTCGCTGGAGGGTGCGTCACTGCGCGCGCGTGGGTTGTTGTTGTGATTCCCGGGCTGTTGAGAGTGTTGGGGGCTGATGAAGTCGGGGGCGGTTTCTTGAGTGGATGCGTGAATGCATGCGTGGTGGGACTGTGGGGCCGGTCTGAAGGATGCGTATGGGGAGCTGACCGCGGACTTTGCTGCCTTTGGGCCTTTCCGGCTAGCTAGGGGCGGTGAGCTCATGCCGCGGTGCTAATAGACCTGTTTGAGCCCAATATCTTCTTGGTCTGAACGGGGCTTGCTAAGCTAAAGGCGGGAGCTAAAGGAGGGAGGGAGCTAACGGCAGCTTGTTGCACGTCGTGTCGGGCAGATGTGAACATTTCCTTTAGTCAGTCAGTCAGCCAGTCAGTGAGTCAGATGTTGTCAAGGCGGAAAACGGTGCCTTGCTTTGGGTTTTTTCCAGGTCGCCTGTCCCGCCGCCGCGCCTCATGGAAGCTCAGCACCCCCTCTTAATAACAATAACACACTGGTAGCGCTGTAGACACACGCGCTATCCGCGCATAGTTATTATTATTATTTATTCATTTGTTAAAAAATGCCGTGTCATGCCGTGCTGCTGGAGGAGGCTATCTCTAGAACCATCATCCGTCCACCTTGTCCACCTTGCCATATATCTACACACACACTGATACGTTGCGCGCGCCCCCTCCCCCTTTTGAACCCGGTCCGCAGGCAAGCAGGGCAAGCCCCGCCTCAAGCCCCCTTTCCCCGCCGGCGTGGGTCTGTACGGCTGCCCCACCACGGTCACCAACGTGGAGACCGTGGCGGTGTCGCCCACTATCCTGCGCCGCGGCCCCGAGTGGTTCTCGTCCTTCGGCCGCAAGAACAACGCCGGCACCAAGCTGTTCTGCATCTCCGGCCACGTCAACCGGCCCTGCACGGTCGAGGAGGAGATGAGCATCCCGCTGAAGGAGCTCATCGAGCGACATGCAGGTGGGAACTGGTTCATTTATTATATCGCGGGAGGGATGATTTAGGGTTAAAAGAAATATTGTTTTGTTGATATAGGAATGGTGGAGTGTGGTTTGGTGTGAGGAGGAAGGTGAGTTGTGGGATGAGGATGTGGTTGCCGGAGCCGCTATCCCAAGTTCTCTGTGGTTTAGGGTTTTCCTTTCGAGCCCCTCTCCGATACACACAACCCGGAACTCCCTGATGCTGCCGCCACCAGTGCTCGCAAGCGTTGTTCGGCTCTCCGTCGTCCGGTGTGGTGGTGGTGTTGAGCATATCGTCTGTAAAGCAGCATGCTGCCGGTCCTGACAGGGGGACATCGTGATGAGGCACATCCTGATGCACACACACGTGTGTCAGCCATCACGTGCTCTCTCTCTCCCCACCTGTGTGGCGGTGGTTCGTCATACGTCATCATGAAAACCCTGCGCTTGGGGCTCTTTTGAGCCTCGCTGTTGATTATCATCCATTATTCCCACCATACCAGTTTTTGTTTTGCTCCCCTGGTTGGTACAACATACATTCTTACTCGTGTGGAAATCAACACCCCGTGTACCAACACCCTCTGCACGCAGGCGGTGTCCGCGGCGGTTGGGATAACCTGCTCGCCATCATCCCGGGCGGCTCCTCAGTGCCGTTGCTGACCAAGAAGGTGCGGAGACAGCCCGGGTGGGGTGGGGTAGGGAAGGGTAGGGGGCCTGCTGGGGAGGCAATCTGATGGGAGGGGTTTGGTTACGATTCTGATGGCGGTGGAGGTGAGGTGGAGACCGGAGACAACCATGTCACGCGCCATGGCAGCACCATGCTCTCCCGTGATCCCGCCGTGCCGTTTTCTCCTTTTCCCCCCCCCCCCTTGCACATGACCCTCCCCCCTTCCCATGGCAGTAGCTTCACTCGTTCGTGGTTCGTCTTTCCCCCCTTCCGTTGTCGTGATGATGTCCCCTGTTCGCCCCCCTTCATCCCCAGTTGTGTGACACGGTGCTGATGGACTTCGACGCGCTGAAGGAGGCGCAGTCGGGGCTGGGCACCGCAGCCGTCATCGTCATGGACAAGTCCACGGATGTCATCGACGCTATCGCCCGGCTGTCGTACTTTTACAAGCACGAGAGCTGCGGCCAGTGCACACCTTGCCGCGAGGGGACCGGTGGGTGGCGTCCGGCTGGGAGGGGGCTGCGATGATCACGAGCACCAAATGATTTGCGATGGGGTGTAGGGTCCCCGGGCGATGAAGCATGCGCCCGACGTCAGTTAGCGGTTACATGTCACATGGGGCTCTGTACAGGGGTCGGCTTCGAGTGGCAGTAGTGAGGATGCTGAAGGCGGGGAGGCAGGAGGGGGATGGGGAGGGGACGGGGGTGGTAGGTTTAGGTGTGTGGGGGGCCCCCCACATGCTGTATAAATAGTCGAAAGAAAAGCGCGTGTCTGGCCTAGGGCAGCAGGTCCAGAGTAGCAGGGCAAGGAGATGCGGCGGGGGGAGGCAGAGGGCCAGGGAAAAGGAAAGGCGGCGGGTTACCGGCGCAAATTTCATAGCCAAATTCAAAAGTTCAAAAAATGGAATGACCAGTACAGCTTTGTATGTAAGTTCTGAGTATCAGCGCAGCCGACATGCGTTGCACCTTACTGCTATCGCCAGGTCCCCGAACACTTTATTCACCCACTGCACAACTACTCGCCGTTCCGTGCTGAATAAAACGGTTTCTCGTCTTTGTTTTGGTTTGGTTGGGGGGCCCTACCGCTGGCACCGTGCCGACGTGTCAACTTCGCGCCTTTGTGGTGTTGTCTGCCCGTCCGCTAGGCTGGCTGTATGATATCATGACCCGTATGAAGAAGGGCGACGCGCGGCTGGAGGAGATCGACATGCTGTGGGAGATCACCAAACAGATCGAGGGGCACACCATCTGCGCTCTCGGTGACGCGGCGGCGTGGCCGGTGCAGGTGGGTGTGGTCATGGGGCTCACCCCGCTGCTGCTGCTGCTGCCCGGTTAGAGGGCGGTACGTGTGTGTATATATATATATATGTATGTATACATATATATGGGTGTGTGAGAAAATGGATTTGTTGTAAGGACAGTATTTAGCCGCTCGAGTGTCACGGTGGCCATCTGCCACAACCCGGCCAGCAAACTAAACACGTACGCGTCCCCTAAGTCCCTTGAGTCGGTAATCCCCCCTCCTTCCCGTACCAGGTACCACACATCACATCTATATCTATCTGATCCTCGCTTTTCTTTGGCCATCCTGATGTGTACTATACAGCACGTGTGGCACAACATGCATCATGTGGCATACCAGCACGCATAACTTCCCGTGGCTCTCCCCACCTCGCGGCGTTTTCTTATGGTTGCCACAATTCATGCATCTTTTTACTCACCACCCTCAGGGCCTCATTCGCCACTTCCGCCACGAGATGGAAGACCGCATCAAGAACGCGGGCGCCCGGGAGAAGATCGCAGCCACCGCCTAAGTCGGCTACTGCCAAACCCGGTCCCGTACCGCAATACCGCCGCAGTCACGGCACCAAGTTCCGTTTCTATAACAAGAAGCGCTTGTCGCTGTTGCCCGGGGCCGAATCGTACTCTGTCTGGCAACCTGTTTCGAGAGCCGCTGCTATCTCCGCCTGCTGATGTGCAGCAAAGTGGCTGTGTATAAAGCGCCTTGAGGACCCTAAATGGGACGGAAAAGTGGTGAGGAGTAAAGCGCTGCCTGGTTTGATGGCAGCGGGTGTTGCGGGGGGGAGTGTGCTGGTGCGTGGCAGTCCGAAGGCTTCTGTCTTTGCTATAGGGCCAAGCTGTGGCCGTGGGGTGTTGCGAAAAGCGCGGTCCCAAAGGCGCGGCTTTAATGCTAAGTGCGGTTGCGCCGCCTCCTTCCTGCTGTTTCAGCTGCTGTGCTCGGGAGTGCTCTGGCTCGGCGTGCTGTCCTGGCGGCGGTCTTGTTGTGCCTTGGGTCTGTCTTACGCGGGAAGTGTCTGTCTGTGCATGGGTGTCATCGTTCACCTAAACGTCGCGGCTGTGCTGATGCGGACTGCTGCGCTCTGACCAGCGTTCTCGCTTGCGGGTGGCTATTTGGGAAGTCGTTAAATCTTGTTTGTCGCGTGTGGGGCAAACAGCATCGCAGCTTGAGGGTCGCTTGGTTGCGCAGCACACCGCGCGCGTTCAGTGTGCCATGGGTTCGCGCTGGGGTCCTGTAGGTAGATCAGGGTCCCATTCGCGGAATGCTGGTCGCTTTCGTGATTTTGCGATTTGCGCTGTCAGGTATCGCGCTTCTGGCTTAACAACGTCAATTCAAATACTCACGTCGGGTCTCATACGACGAATTCGGCTAAGTGGTTTGCTGACTCATAACGGGGTGAAATCAGTCACGGGTGATAGCGGTGGTAACTCCAGTTCTCTCCAGCTCCCGGTCGCCTTGCTTTGTTATAGGGGCATAAAACAAGATTAGCTTTGGTTTGCGATGTTCGCCGGTATTTGTGTTATGCGCATTTAGAGTGCGTGCATGCATGCAGCAGAAGGGAGACGTCATCAGTGTCACCGGAGGAGGGTTGCAGAGCGGCGCCCCATCCTCGCATCCTGGGGAGGGGGTGGTCGGGCCCGCATCCTGTCGGTTGGATACATCCTACACATACCCCTTTTACCATCCTCGAGCCAATCCGCCGTCCTCATCCTTGGTGGGTTGGCGTCCACCCTTCCAAATTCGGCCCTCTGCTGTCCTTATCCTGGCGGGGTCCACAATTCTATCCTACTCTTTCCTATCCGTATCCTGTCCCCGACCCTCCAACGCATCCTGGCCGCTCTGCAGCCCCCCTGTGTCACAGAAACGTGTGGTGTGGAAACTTCTCTCAACGCAATATTCGGTCACAGGGTTTGTCCGGAGAGTTTTTTTACCATGTGTGTGTGTTACATGGTTGGGGGTGCGTGACCCCATATACCCATACGAGCCGAAGCCCCAAGGGCAATATGTATACGCCTAAAAGCCACGGAGAAAAGGAAACACCGCATGTTTGTGTACAAGGTGGCAATTGATGCGTGCCATGTGCCATCTATGACAGTGTGAAATAAGGAGGAGATGCCGAATCGTTCCATCGCACACCCAAATTGCGTTTCCGCCTCATACCCTCGTTTAGTCGACTCACCACGCAAACATCACGCAGCGACAAGGTGTAGGTGTGTGTGTGTGTGTGTGTGTGTGTGTGTGTGTGTCAGCCTTCTCAAAGCCAGGGACAAGGACGGACTGTACTGCCCTGCTCAGAACCGGCACACGTCACCTCGAGAAAGACATTTGCGAAGACGAGTAGTAAGGCGGCGAGGCAGAGAAAAAGCGGCCAGCAGGTCAAGAGCCAAGGGCGGCAAGCGCGGGAATACAGCTACGCCCTGGCTCATCAACGACACATAGTCACATATACCGCCGAGGACATATGCCGTGCGGTTGGGCACAGCTAGCAGCTATGAGATGCAACTGACACAGTAAGGAGTGGAAGCGCCATGCCGATACATTTTGCGGCGGCTCGAGGTTCAGAGACTGCATGTGGGTGTGTGTTACATGGTCGTGGGTGCGTTCCCCGTACCTGCAAACCGCCCTAATACGAGCTGAGGCTTAAGGGCTGCCAGATTGCCTATATGCGCCATTCTACCTCGCACTTCAAACAAAGCAAGCGTGGTTGAAGGCCATGGATACCCAGCAAGGTTACAGTAGCCGGTCCGCCGAGAGGGTAACACACGAGGCGGTGTTTTTTTTGGCGGTTTCCTAATTTTATTCCCCTCCCTGCCGGAACACCCACATGCGCGGCGTGGCCATTTCCAGGTGCAGGTGTGGATATGGTTCACATTGAAGTTGAGAAGTCGTGCATGCAGCGGTCGTCAATCAAGACGGGGCGCAGGTATATCGATCAATCGAACATCCGAAGTTGGTCTTGTTGGTCTGGGAGCCCTCTGCAGCTGGTGGTCTGGGAGGTAGAGGCCTTGGCAGAAACCATAAAAAACCTGGCCTGTCCTGAAATATTGCGGGCGTGCTGGCTACTTCTCTTTCTTTTCTTTTGGTGCTTGCTACTTTTCTTTCTTTTCTTTTGGTGCTTGCTACTTTTCTTTCTTTTCTTTTGGTGCAACTCTCCCTGTGCAGTGTCCTACCTGCTCATATCGCGGCAGTATGCTGGGCGGCGTGTTCCGGTTCTCTGTCATGGCTTGGGTTGGGCCTTGGGTGCTGTTGGGTGATTCCGGATTAGAGCTTTGTTTCCTTTTCCCTCCGTCGGCCTCCTCTTTCTTTGCTATCTTTGTAACCATGAAACATCCTCCTGTCGAGGAAATCCCCGGGGGTACGGTTCACCGCCCTTTCAAAGCAAGCGACCCTAACCACACGCTTTTTGACTTTCGCTTGCTCTTGCTCTTGAAGGGGGACGTAAGAAAGGGAACAGTCCGAAATCTCCCCTTGGTATCCTTCATCCATCCAATCGGCCAGCTTCATAGAGCTCAGCACTAAAATGCGGGATATCGACTTCGGGACAGCTGTGGATATCCGCGCAGCCGAGTTGAGCTCCGGTGCGGCCACTGCATCCATCCAACTACACGGCGAAGGTGAAGTTGCACATCCGACTCACATACACACACATACCTTCCTTTCGAGCATGCGCTACCTTTCGTTGCCATAAGTACTAACTTTTCCTTGCAACACAACAACTCAACAGACCATGCAAAATATATGCACCAATCAGCCATGCATGCCCGGCACACACACTACAACCGGAACACCCACAGCGGGCCACCGCAACGTAGAAGGAACCCAGGCGGGCTCCGCCTCCGCCCACCCATGAGATCATCGAGGAAGCCGCTTCTCCGCCGTCATTCGTACAGTACGAGCAGGGACTGCATCATGATGTACCCTGCCGTGGAGCCCGCGGGCGGATCTCCGGGCTCCTGGCGATCTCCGTAAAAACCTTTGTACCGGATTGTATTGTTGGCGGGCGAACCTGGCGGTCGCAACGCATCGCTCACATCCACGACCCATGGGTCCACCGCCGCACCATCACACCAGCCGCCGCGCCCGTAGAACCATGTGCCGTGCTGATTGGGCACCCCGCCGTATAGTACGGCATCAGCGCAGCCCCATGCCGTACCCGCTTCCGTGAAGTTGAGTACCCCTACCTCACGCCCGTTAACGAAAAGGTGGTGCGAAGTAGGACAGAACTCACCACAGCCTGCAGTGGCGTCGGATCCGTGGCCCGTGATGTACGACACAATGGTCGCGGCACGGGTGCGGCTAGGCGTAGGCAGTGTGACTGTCGCACGGTCCCTGTTGTACGATGCGTCGAAGGTGGCGCTTTCAAATAGCAGGTGCACGTCGAATGGCCGCAGGCCGCGGTCAGCTACATGTGCCCTTGGCGGCGACGACGACAGCCTTGCCACGGCCGCCTTGGCTGTTGACGTTGCCGCGGCAGTTGCGCTGATGGCCGCAGAGGAAGTGCGCTGAAGGCTTTCAAGAAGTCTTTGCGGTGCAACAGCAGCAGCACTAGCAGCACTAGCAGCACTAGCAGCACTAGCAGCACTAGCAGCACTAGCAGCACTAGCAGCACTAGCAGCACTAGCAGCACTAGCAGCACTAGCAGCACTAGCAGCACTAGCAGCACTAGCAAGCTCCCGTCGGCTCTGAACAAAATGCCTGTGAAGACCACCGCCGGTGCCGCCTTCCACTTCTCCGGCAGCAGGGCCTTCCAGCGGGGCCATCTCCGCTGATAAAGAGGAGCCCTCTGGCTTTCCCAACGCTTCCGGATTGCCGTACGAGTCAATACCGCCCTGCCCCGCCGCCGTGTCGCCTCCTTGCGTTGCAGCGACAGGGTGGACGTGGGGGGCTTGCCGCTGCGAGAAGATGAGGGCCAGGCTCGCCGTCCAGTTGCCGTCCGCCCAAGGGGCGGTTTGTACGGTAAACGAGCACCTGCGGACGTACATACACACGTGGCACAGTACCCGGATGCATTATCCCGCCGCCGTTGTGGCTGAGCTGCTCGCGAGCACGAGTACATGGCGGTATATCTCAACACTCAGGAGGTTGAGCTTTGATTGCCCCTATTCGCTCTGTTTTCCAGACCTGCGATCCAGCCAAGTCCATCCCAGCAGCCAGCAGCAACCCACGAACCCGCGAAGCGCACTTCCCCCAGTGAACACACGCAGCTTGAAGTACACCCTCAACGTTTATGACTCTATGACTCCGTCGTTCTGATGACGTGTCTCTCGCGGCTGTTGATCCACACAAGACAAGACGAAAAGCATGTCCTTTCGGAAAGAGTCCACGTGAGCACTAACTCTATAGGATGACGACGTCTGCTCTGATACTGGGCTGCTGCTGCTGCTGCTGCTGCTGCTGCTGCTGCTGCTGTTGGGACTCAGATGTTGCATTGTATATAAACGTCTTTTACGCTCATTTGACATGTGCGCGCCACTAGTCCACCGGTAGGATATTTGCCTTCCAAGCAAAAGAACGGGGTTCGACTCCCCGGTGGCGCACTTATAGTATGCCCAATATACAGTAACATACACGCAGGGACTTTTCGTCGGGTTTCATGGGGTGGATCAGACCAAAGAGGATGAGACAATTCCAGGTCATGGACTTATGTGGGTATTTTTATAAAATTATGATGGGGTGCGGATGACTAGTTGAAGTTGGACAACCTTACCCACAGCATCTGCTTGCTAAAGAGGTCGCAATTAGCAGGCGCACTGGTACGCCATAACAGTCTGGATAGTTCACCAGTTAGTTCGACTTAATTTTTCTTTTCAAGCGATAGGATAATAGTGTTTGTTGTGTACTTGTATGACATCTATGGCTATTTTGGACAGCCTTCGGCTGGTGCCCTTGGGGCCCCCCTCAGGACCCCGGGCATGTATTGGCCCCGCCAGATTACACCTTTGGAGAGTGACGCAACTCCAGGTGGTGTAATACACACATAAAAACAGACATAAACACACACACACACACGCACACTTCTGCCCAGCGAAATGACATTATTTGTCATGCCATCCCACATTCCACACTGCCATCACCATCCCGCTAACCTATATGGCTCCCCCCAACTCGCACCGACACCCAACCACCTGCTGCCGTCCGCCAGCAGCCCAATCAAGGGGGTCACGTCCGTCAGCCACCGCCCCACACGACGTCGGAACGGCGTCGCCCACCGCCCCAGCTCCAGTCCACAGCGCTGCGGCGCCTCAAGCGCCTCCATCGCATCAAGGATGATGCCATCATCCATTGCCACGGTCGCAGCCATCCCAGCCGCAACCGCAGCAGCAGCAGCAGCGGCATTCCCCTGCGTTGGCGGCCTCGGTCGCCAGAGCGTTGTGGGGCAGGGCCGGCACCGCTCCGGCTGCGGACTACAGCACGCGAACAGCTGTACCACGTGGTCCCAGGCAGGGCAGCTGGCATCCATGGGCCCGGGGCAACCCAAGGAGAAGTCCAGGAAAAGGCGGTGGCGGTGGAGGCGGCGGAGAAGGTGGCGCGGCAGGTGGGCTGTGGCGGTGGCGCCGTGCGCCCCCGGGAAGGCCTGCGATGCCGTGGGCGGATAACGCCGGGGGGGTGGGGGGGTGGGGGGGTGGGGGGGTGTTGAGCACGGAAGAACCCGAATACCCTCGGGCTAACAAGGATACCACCGCTCCGTGTCCCTCCGCACCGGAAGATAGAACACACACACCCCACATTCCCCCTTTCCAGGACGGATTGAAGTCCACAACACACTCATCACACACCCCGTACTCACGTTCCTCGCATCCCGTACACGCCCCGCATTAACCTCGTACATACAACATGAGATATACATTGGACCCGTACCCACCGTACCTTACCTACATACCTACCGTGTCTTTAAAGACGTTAAGGACGTGGCTGTGAGCGGCGGGTTGGCGTAGCTCTTGGAGCTGTTCGCTCAGGCGACTCAGGTAGACCAGCCACCAGGCGGCCCACCCCGCGTGCATCATCAGCGGCAGCTGTGCCCAGCCCCCCTCCGCCAGCCTCCCTTGAGCGTCGATTACGAACCAGCCCGCGGGGATCTGCCCTCGTTTATGTAGGTAACAGAACATGGAGGCGAGAAGATAAAAGAGTAATACTTGCAAAGAATTTATAGACGCAGTTCGATTCCTGAAATTTATGTATTAAAAAACAGAAAGGAAGCAGCACAAGCAGAAGAGGATGCAGGAAGGACGGAAAGAAGGACCACCTGCACGCGGCGGCTGCAGGAGTGGAAGAGAGGGCGCCGGCAAACGGAAAGGGGCCCCGTCAGGGAAGCGGATCTCTGCCAGACCCGGGGAAATGATTCTCCCATCCGACCGACCTCCCATCGTGGTAAGTAAGGGTTGCTGCAGTGTATGTATGTCGTCACATATAAAGACATCATGACGGGTATTTGCGGTATCGCAGTACTGTGGTCGTGTAAAAGGTCGTGTAAAAAGCGACGTGGTTACCAAGTACCCAAATCTTGTCCATGTATCACGTATCCTCAATCACGAAACCCATCATGACAAATGTGGTGTTGACAGCTTTTGTGTGTGATGTTAGCGAAACGATCGTACCGGTTTTACTCGGAACTCGATCTCTGTGTTGACCTCCTCTCGGGTCGCATTACCCATCAGAGCCAACAAGTCTTGACCGTCAGAGTACGACACCATGGCCGCCGGAATACACGGCTGCTCCTCCTCCTCCTCCTCCTCCTTCGAAGAAACCGAGCTGCCAGCCCGCCGCCCCCGGCCTCGCGCCAGTGTGTTATCCACCTCCGGTTTCACTCCGCCGCCGCCGCGGCCGGCGTCAGCATCAGCCCCATGACGTCGAAGCAGGTATGACTGCTGCCTTACATCGTCATACGGCGACGGGATGCCGTACAGCATCTCCGGCCCGAAGCCAGGCTCTGTCGGCGTGATGACCTCAACATCGCGGCCAGGGCTGGCAACAAAGATGACGCCAAGCGCGCCTGTCCGCTGGAACGTCCGTACGGTTAGTTGACGGTTAGGAGGTTGGTACGAAGATGGTTGTCGACAAGAGGTTCTCCCCAACTTTATCACTTCAGGCATTTCTGTCCTTTGCCCTGTCTCTTGTATTTATACCAAAAGAAAAGACGTCTCCTCGTAGATAGGTAGGTACATCTTACAATCTTTTTTGTCGATTCGCACGGAAGCAATCGCATACGCAAGGAAGGCGAAACGGTCATCGCCTCCAGAGGGCTCAAAATCCGGCGTAATCACGCACCTGCATATTCAGTACGATATCGCCGTACGTGCAATCCGGATGGCCCTCCCGACTTGCATTCGACACCAGCACCCAGGCACCTGAGAAGCGGCTGCCGCTGCTGCTCGTACTACCGCCACCGCCGCCGTCAACAGGGCCGCCGCCGCCGCCGGAGGCTGCAATGACGTCACCCAGGTCGCAGGGTGAATGTACAGCTCCCGCGGCTTCAGCCTCGTCACCGCCGCTGACGTCATCAAATGCGACCAGCGGCACCGGGTTGGGTGAGGCAGCGGCGGGACTTGGGAGCCAGCCGTACCATGCATCCAACCGAGCGACCGTCAGACCGTCTTCAGCCGCCGGCTCGGGCGGTGCTGCCTTCGGAGCCGCCGCCTCCGCCTCCACCTCCGCCGCCGTCACCGATGCCGTGGCTTCAGCCACTGCACCGTCAGCTGTAGCGCGGCGGGTGGCGCTTGCAGCAGTGGCAGTAGCAGCGGAAGGCGGCGGTGGATGTCGTTGTGATGGCCCTGTGTGGGTCCTCCTGGCGTGCAGCACTTTCATGTCGAGAGTCCACTGCTGTAGCAGCAGCAGGAGCTGCGGGCTCACTGCTGTGGCGGCTGTCAGGGAGAAGTGGAAGTGCCCCAAAACTCTGCGGGACGGAGGATAAACAGGGGAGGGGGGGAGGTTGTGGAGTGACCGATGCCCTGGAGGAGGAACGGACCAAAGCGGCTGTTTGGTGATGGGGGTGATGGGGGTGATTGGAGTGATTGGAGTGATTGGGGTGATTGGGGTGATTGGGGTGATTGGGGTGATTGGGGTGATGGGGTGATTGGGGAAAGAACGAACAAAGGGGAAAGTGAGAGAGCAGCAATCATCATCCAGAAAAACAAAAAAGAACAACGTTCAAAATCGAACGAAACAGGATCCAGCAGGCGGGCGAGAGGTCAAGGGAGGGGCGATGACGTGAAGCACAGGGCAGGGCAGTGGGCGCAACAGCCGATGGCTCTGCTCCGATCACAGAGTGCACTAACCGATTGGTTGGTTGCGGTGGTTGTGGTGGTTATTGCGGTTATGTGGTGGTGATGACTGTTCCGCAAATCGAGGGAGGGATACGCGAATGGCTGAGTACGATTGCGTGATGGGTGGCAATGTGTAAGGTGGAGAGAGCGCTGCAAGATGAAGCAGATAAAGCGGGGGGGAGAGGCAGTTGCCGCACCTTTTGCGTAGATCCTCGTCCGTCGTCTCGTCGCTGCCGTACACTTCGCGTGCCGCTGCCATCATCTCCCCGTACATGTAAAACGCCAGTTCAGCGGCGGCGGCGGGGCTGTATGTGTACGGCAGGAAAAGGTAGTCGACGGCGGCGAGAGGCGCATGACGCATGAACATCTGTGTCGTACACCACCGGGCAGTGAGCGGAAGCGCCGCCAGGAACACGGCCCGTGAAATTTGCAGCTCATCACCCGGAGTATGATTACTAATCTTGCCGGCTTGAACACCCATCATCTCGTGCAGCCTCTCTACAGTTTTTTGGCTGCCACTGTTGCCCTAGCTCCGTACCATCAGTCACCGGCCCTCCCTCCAACCCCCCCAATCCCCTCCAGCAGGTGTCTGATCGCAGCGCCCATTGCCGGGGAGTACCCACTGACTCACTGACCCACCGACCCCCCTGGCGTGTACGGAATCCCCTGACTTGTACGGAACTCCCCCTGACGTATACGGAATTCCCCGACGTGTACGAAACCCCCCGACGTGTACGGAACCCCCCGACGTGTACGGAACCCCCCCTGAAGTGTACGGAACCCCCCGACCTGCATGGACCCGCCGCTCCACATGGCCCGCTGGAGGGGGTCCCGGGGGTTGAAGACGATCACCACCTGGGGGGTGTGTCCGGGTCACAGCGAGACACACGCTCACATACATACATTCATACAGGCATACACGCACACAGGCATACATACAGCGACAGCGGTGTGGAGTGCACAACGCAGTTCGCATCTCATCGTGCAGATAAGAGATATGACGCAGACGAATCCGCCAACATCAGATGTTATCGTTGCCTCAGGCCTTGATAGGGCCGGATGGAGAGCAAAACGTGGGTGCGAACCCCACCTACATACATACATTTTCACCCCGATCCCACCACCACACTGGTGGTCATATATACCCTCAGACTCGTCATCATCAATACAGCTCCCCCCCCGCCGTGTTTAAACAAAGCGCCGCGGACGGCCCCCGGGTCATATTACTGCTGTCACCACTTCCTGGTCTATATATATACACGTATGGTAACGCTTTCCTATGTGAGTGTCGGTCACAGGTCACAGGTCCCCTTACCCCCACTCCCCCACTCCCTGGCGCATTACCCTTTTTTCAAAGCTTTGTTAAACCCTTCCCCGAATCACCCACCACCCACCACAGGCAGTTGTGATGTGCTTGGGTCGTAGCGGAATGGGCCCAGAGGGGTGTCGACAGTGAAGGCCGCTGTACGCTGTCCGGGAAGTACGGCATGCCTGCCTGGGCCGCCCTGCGCGCTCCGGGAAGCGTCGCTAGGGCCGATGCCGCTACCGGCGTTGCGGCCATCCGTGGCGCTGCTGGCGCCCTTTTGATTTGCTCTGATGTCCGGGGATATGTTGCTGGCTGTGGTTATGGTAGCTACAGGGAAGGCATCGACGCCGGGGTGTTGGCCGTGGCTGCGTCGCTGGCCCTGGCCACTGTTAAGGTTGGTCCTTACGGCCAAAGTTTCAGCTTTAGATACATCTGTTGCTTTTGAAAAATCTCGTGGCTCAATACGCGGTTGGCTTCGGGTGTCCAAGGGTAAGGACCCATGACCAAGGGCCTTCAAAAGATTCCCGTTGTTCAATGAAAATGCATATCTTAGGCTTAACAGCACATGGAACGTAACCAAGCAAGTAAGCTGCCAAGTTCGACGGGCATCTGAATGGCTCCACCGGAACTCCTTGGACCTCCAAGGCTTTAGATTTGCGGCCAGACTCGGCCCCATAGCTTGAGCTTTGCTTCACAGCCGGCTGTGCATATCAATTTCAGCATTGTGGGAGGTGTCCATTCTCACCGGATGCACCTTGTTCGGAAGTCCGTGATGAAGATTTCTATATCAGCATACGGCAGTATATTGGTGCGAAATGTCAACATTTTTAGACATAAACGATAAAAGGTCTTTGTGTGGTCATGTAACCGATTTAACGAACTTCCGCAAAATCGGGTTACTGTAGTCAACAAAGGTAAAAACGCTTGAATCAAGAAGATATAACGCTTTTATACAGCCTGAAAGTGCGTGAACATTGTACCTTTTGAACGCTCGACGTGTCGCTCGCGCACTGCCCCATTTTGCACGAGAAAACTCGCGACGCTGGCTTTTATGTGCTGGGAAAGGAACATCTATTGATTAGCGCGGTTGCTAACGTACGATCGGTGGTCTCTGAGCCGCGACATTTCGACTTGCGTTTTTGCGCGCGAACGACGAAGTCGAGTAGTTGTGCCCAAGTCCTAAGTACAAGTCCTAAGTACAGCTGCCTGGTAAGTATGTAGTTTGTCAGCTTTATCCAAAGTTTCTTTTGGCAGGTCTAGAGTTACTCTATTTGTGTGGTCCTTCGATGACCCTGGGTGACGGGCGAAATAGACGTCCTCACCTTTACCGTCAAGCCATTGCAGCGTTCTACGTTGAAAACAGCAACTAGCAGAAAGGAAGGTAGTCAGCTTCTTTGAAGCCAAAAAGGTCTCGGCCCCAGTGCAGCCACTCGCCCCGCAGTAGGAGGTCCTCGTGCTTTTCTAGACAGATTCGCTAAGGCGGCAATACAACGCCAGAACGGTGGAGACCGTGGACAATGCCGCGCTCATCACAAGCATGCTAGCCTTCTGGCAATGTTAGACCGGGAAGATGGCCATGGCGAACATCGGCGGCTGGCAATCGCTGCAGCGCGGCTTGCGGTTGTTGAGGCAATAGGGCAAAACCCTAAGCCTATGAGCGAATCGTGCAAAACGAAGTGTGAGTATTCCTGACTGCTGTTGGCTATGCAACGGCGACCATGAGAAGCGGTGCGAGGCCCCGCTAGCGTCGGGGGAAGTCAACGCCATGGCCAGCGGGATAGGGGTTCGGATGGTGTCGTGGGTACAGGACAGAGGACACGTCGAGTTCATTTCGGTAAAGTTCTTTTTATACCACCGTCATCTAATCCTGCAACATAGCTAAGTTTGTGTGTGTGTGTGTGTGTGTGTGTGTGTGTGTGTGTGTGTGTGTGTGTGTGTGTGTGTGTGTGTGTGTGTGTGTGTGTGTGTGTGTGTGTGTCTGTTACAGTTTCGAGTTTTCCGAGTTGTGTTTCTCTCCGAAAATGTAAGAAGCCCATAGAAGCTGGGGGCTCAGGGGCCAGCCTAAGGCTACCCGATATCGATAACATGTAAGAAAGGCTATTAGCCTGTCACTCTACATGTCAAAAAGAGAAAAATGTGTCGAGCTCATTGAACTATCCAGACTAATATGCCTTAGTGTGCTTCTGCTTAGCTTGCTTAGTAATAGCTGGCTGCTGAAAAGGCCTCTCAAGATGCTGGTGTATATATCTAGCAACAAGATTCCAACAGGTGACGGCACCTTGCATCAATGAGGGATGTCGGTCACGGCTTGACACTGACAAGTGGAACGCACCTTGAAAAACGAAGTGTTCTGGTAGTCTCACCCATGGGCCGGCTAGTGTCCGCCCAGCGAGATATGTAACAATTACCCGCGTGCACACACACAGTAGTGGTACTAGGTGGCCAGGGTGTGGCTTCCCTGGTGGCCTTCAAGCGGTGGTATGCGGCGGGTATAGCCCGCCTGTGCTTGGGGAATGGGAACTACGAGTGAGTGGTGAGCTGCCTGTGTGGTCGATAGGGGAGGGTTGAGTCCCTCCTGCGCTAGGAGTGGAGTGGGGGCTAGCTTAGCAGCCCTGCGATGAGGAAGAGAGGACTGTGGCCTCCTGAGCTTGGGTGTGAGTGGACAGTAGTTGGACAGTAGTTGGACAACACGCCCCCCCAGCAACTGGAGCAGAGTGCTTCAGCGGTATTCCCGATGGGTACGGTTAGGCGCCCCGGTCAGCATCAGGCCAGGCAGATATGTAACACACACACACACACAGAAATGGATACGGCTACACATATCACTTTATTGGTGACCAGGCTATATTAAGGGAGCGGTGTGGGGCTGTTATTACCCTACAAAGCCGTTTAACGGGAGGTGAGCCAGGTTCACTCTGCTTCTGGACACTGTAGCTAAGGCAGAAGCCGCAGCAGAAACCTGTCAGTACTGACACAGTCAACTCGCGAAATTATGCCTTCCGTCCCTCCGTCGCACTCCTGCGACTTACACTAGCCCTGTACGGTCTAGCCATATGCACCAGCGACATTCAGCCGAGTTCGCTCTCCGCAAATATACGGAAAACCTTAGGGTTTTCTGCCTCTGTTCATGCATTCTGAAGGATGATGTCTAGGGAGCTGCAGGCAGGCATACCATGCCGTCGTCCTATCCCATGCAATCAATGCGCCCATCCAGAAGCACCATACACATCCATCCATCCATCTGTAGTCCATACTGCTGTGTGCAGACGTGCTGGTGCATACGGATAATGCATGAAGAATGAATCGATGGTCCATACGATGCACTCCAACAGACAAATTTATGTGTGTGACAGACAAATCCGGCACATGCGCCTAGAGTGCCTAGGTAGGCTCGTGTTCATTGCTATTTTGATCCTCCATCCATCCATCCATTTTTTTACGGAGAACAGCCGGAAGCTAGGAAGGCTAGTTGGATGCATGAGACATGCATGCCATGGCTAGCTGAATGTCGGCAGCACGCCGCGAATAGCAGTAACGATATGTGAGGAAGATTGCTGCATGCTGTCACACAGTGTTGAAGCAGCGGAAACCGAATCCAGCACCATACATGTGCACGCGGCGTCAGGTCCACAAGATACAGTTTAGAGCCACGCATTCACCGTTGACATGCGTACATACATACACACACTCCCTAGTTACAATACCCTCCTGCCCCACAATCGATGAGCAGATGATGTATCTGCTACAAACGTAAGTGTCGAGCTAATAACTAGCTTGGCTGACTGTCGAGAATGAGTGATCGTGATCGATGTACATCCGCTTTGTTGGAAAAAGAATGAAGATGCAAAGAAACAAGCGCAGCGCAGTAGATACACGCTTGCCTGGCATTGCCTTGTCGTGGCAGATGGGGGAATCCGGCATCCTCAAATCAGCAGCGAGATGATAAGACATGGCAGTCAGAGCACTAACTCCCCCCGCAATGCAGGAAACGTGGTGAAACATGTGTTTCCTTGAAGCAGCAAACAGCAGCAGCAAACAGCAGCACTAACTAACTGTAGGTGGGGAAATGGTCACGGACCATTACTGGTTGAGCATACAACGAAAGCAAGTTTATTTAACCAATACGGAGGAAAGGAAAACACGATCAACACCGAAAGAGCAGAATTAAAACAGCAGAAAGGGAGGATCAGCTATTATAACAGTGAATCAATCAGGCTACCAGCCGCTGCCAGCCTTCATGGATGGTCATTCCTGTCCATTTAACCCCTGCATGCTTTTGGCAATCCAGCGAACGAATCCGGTCACGTGTAGCTGCTATCGATTTCGGCCTGCCTGGCTTTAAGTCTCCCATTACAATACATGGCCTGGTTGTGAGCGTGCTTCTCCCCCCCACAGCCGAGCCAGTAGTTATTAGATACAGTGGAGGCAATCATGACGCAGCATTAGTCCTCGCCACCAATGGAATTGCCTCCTGCTGTTGTGGCTGCTGCTGCTTATTCCTCTTGGGTGCCTGCTCATAGAAGGTGCCGGCAAATACGCTGCAAGCAAGGAAACACACATACAGTTCTTGTATCAAGACAGATGTGCACGCAGTGTAACCCCTGTCCATGGTCGCGTGTGCACACACACACACACATGCATCACCGGGCAGCTACATCATTTGTACATGCATCTCAACCTAAGGCACCGGACAGCCACACTCATACAAGCTCCTCAACTCAAGGTTATCGTTCATTGCCCGGTAAGTAGCTAGCATGCATGCACGAGTGAAGATAAGACGGGCTCCATGTGCGCTAGCTTTCTCAATATGTTGCGGTAGAAATCTTCCTGGCAACCATTTTTCGTCCAGCCATTAAACCTGAGGACTAACTCCCTGATGAGCTGGAATAGCATCTCCTTGAAGGGCCCGGGTAATCGCGAGCTTCCCTCGTCTTTATCTTATCAGTTTATCAGAAGCAGCTGACCCACATTATCGGACTACTCATCTAGCAAGACCAGGGATCGAACCGTTCAGGTTGCCACAAGCAGTTGTGTGTACGCACCAGACAAGAAGAAAAGCGATGCCAGTGGGAGAAGCGTGCTTGTCCCAAATCATGATGTTGATTATTACAGTGACGACCTGAGGGCATTACGGAGACGGCAGCAGGAGTGGTGTTAAGAGTGCTTGACTGATGACGACTTACATACCTATGATCGCTCCAGACACAGCAAATATGCTAAGGCATGGCAGAGTGACCCTGGAAGATTCTGGAATCGATCCCGTCATAGCACATGATAAACAATTTCCTTGACTGGAAGAGGATCGATGCATCCCCATGCCGATGGATGGTGACAAACACGGTTATAGAGCTGACCAGGAGCAGAGTTGATGACACCAGTCAGTTGGCAGGTCCTATGTAACCTCCAGCATCCAGAAGCAGAGTTGCAATCCGTAACCATGGCTCCCTTGTTCAAGTTGGAAATCGTGGCCATCGCTACGTTAGGCAGCATTTGTATGGTGACCACCAACAAGTGCAAACTAGGTGACTATCACACAAGCCTTTTAGCTGACAGCTGGATGGTCAACACTTCAACGTCGGCTCAAAATGCCGCCCAACCTGGACAAGAGAGCCATGGCAACCATGCAACTCTGCTTTTGGATGCTACAGGCAGCAGAAGCCCGAAAATTACTCTTTCCATCACATTCCTGGACTTACACCATACAGCCCTATACAGCCCAGCCATGCACACAAACAACATTCAACCGAGTTCACTCTCAGCAAATACACAGAAGACCTTGGTATCCTTTCGTTGTTTAAAAAATTTACAGTTTTCTGCCGTACTGCTTAGGGATAGTGTGGATGGAGAGGTACCTGCAAGCACGCTCAGCTCCTCCCAGGGAAGCAAGCGTATGCTGGCATTGTACCTCTTTGTCTGTATGACCCCTAAGCAGTACGGCAACTACTCATGAAAACAAGCGGTATAGCACAGCCCGGTGGATGGATACATAGCTTGCATCACGCATAACATAACAACGGAAGAAGATGATGCACACACTATACATTACGCACACCGGCACCCACCTTGCAGATGATGCCTACAATGGTGAACAGTGTCGCCGACACGGCTTCTCGCAATAGATATGACGCGTGGGACATGGCCACACCCAGAACGCAGGATGTTGTTAGGGTCGCAATGGCACCGAAGCTCCATTCCAGGTTCATCAGAACGCCGGGCTCGTTCAAAAACGGCAGGGCCATGAAGAGGGGCACAAAGGCCAAGAAGTTTGTGTAGTACACCCGGCCCCAATTCGTCATCTTGACAGTGTCGCACATATGTTTGACGTACACTGTGTCAAAGGTGAAGAATCCGTACCTGCGTGCAGTTTGATTATGCAGCAAATTCCAGATGAAGTGCCGAAATGCCGGCAGGCAACATGCACAATATTCATTTCAATGTGTGTCTGTGCCATCGAGCAATTCACGTAGGTTAGGAAGGCATATGCCGCTGGGGAGCTGGCTTGCCTTCAATAAGATTTTGGCCCTAAAGTAACCATGGGATTGCAGCTTTGTACTGAACATTTGGCTAGCGGGTGGCTGCGGAGCATAGGGGATCAGGAGTATGCGACAGGCGATGGGGACCATGCATAACCTCTATGGACCTCTATGTGTGATGATGGCAAAAGCCCGAGAATGTTCACCATCCTTACACATGTACATGGAGGGAGGTGGTGAATCGTACGACTTATCCAGACATGCCCATCTATCGACTCCTTAGTAGCTGCCCGAGCTACGGTTAAGGGCAATTTTACTTATTCAGAGCAGTATGAACCTTTCCGATCCAGGCACACGGCTAGACACTTTTTTATCGATCGTGGCTGTGGAGGTACCGATCGATTGATGGATACAATCTACCAGTCCATCCCCAACGAACATAAACGCGTTTGCCAAACCTAGCCTAATAACAGTGCACCGCCTACCGGCCACTGCAACGCAACGAAGCGAATTCATGCCAACCCAACAACCCAACATACACAAACTGAGCAATAGACTTCGCGGTAGTTACGGGCTTACCAAAGGATCAACCAAAAGTACGCTGTTAACTTAAAGTTCGCGTCGACGAGGACGTAGCCCGCAGATCCCAGCAGCAGCACCACCAAGCATGCCCATGACCGGGCGTTCGGGAATGCGCGTCCAAGCCACAAATAATCACAGACAGATAGAACCTGCGTGCGGCCATCCCGTCGGGGTAGCCAAGGATGCAGCAGCAACAGCAGCGACAGCAGCAGCCATGAACACATGCAGATTAACAGCAGAGTGTGCACGAAAAAAAGGCTGATGTATGCGTGCATAGACTGATAGCTAGCAGCACGCGCGCAATTAAACCAGCCGATGTCTTTGGTAAAACAAAACTTGACGCGGCAGCGGTTGAATTGACCCGGCCCGGCCAGGCCTCGGCCTGGCTGGAGATATGCTATCCCCATGGACTGTCAACTAACCAGGGGTGTGGATGATCGGAAGGTGATGAAGGTCTCCACGTTGGCGTTCTGAAGCACCTTGATGTTGGCCACAAGGGTCCCCAGGAATCTGAGTACATGGATGACATGTAGACATGTATTGCGGATCGATGGCGTGTACCATGCATGTGTGCCGATACAGCAGGAAGAGGACGGCTGGTGCAAGGAATGCGGCAGGCTCGTCAGCAGCAGCAGCAGCAGCAGCAGATATACGTAGTGGTGATTACCCGACAGCGGCATCCTCAAATGGTGCGCACTGACCGTCCATGCACGTGCGTAAGTACGTAATCTTGAACATCAACCCATCTAGACGATCGATTACCAAGGGCAGTTGGCTGAATGGATGTAAGCCAACTGGTTGTGTGCTGTGAGTCAGAAGGTTGAAGTGATGTTGCATATGTGAAAGATGACATCCCTGTTCTCAGTTGCAGGCATGTCTGTGCATGTGTGCACGTGCCGTGGGGTCTGTCGTGCTGCTGAAGCTGCAGCAGCAGCAGCAGCAGCAGCCACGGCGGTGAGTTCCCTCCCCAGTTGTGGTCATGGTTGCAGCTGTGTATCAAATTAGGGTTAGGTGTCTAGACCTGGATGGCGATTTAATCACCGTAGGGGGGCTGGCAAGGAAACATTCAGTGCACGAACGTACAGTTAGACGTGTAGCAGCACGTTTGTCTCACACGGACTTACCCGATCACAACCCACACAAACTTTAGAAGCTTATCCCATTCCAGCTTGTCTGCGACGAGCCAGCCTGCGGCACTCCCTACTAGTACAGCGGCGACGGACACGCCAAGTTGGCAGCAGAGGATGAATGCTGGCGCGGGGACATGGTGAATCGCAAGCTTGTTAATAACCAACATAAGTGATGAGCAGAACGCATAGTATAGGATGATGAGAACTGTCCTGGAGCCCAGTTCCTTCACGTCGAGAAGGCTAGGCTGCTGATGAGCAACTAAGGGCTGCTTTTCTATATCCTTTTGAGGTCTCATGTCGCAATCTCCTGCGGTGACCATTTTAGGCTACAACTCTGCGCACGGGCAGGGCGAAATGGTACTTTGTTCGCTCTGTATGACAATCTTAGGCATTTAAGGAACGTCCATGAAGATTGTAATGATTCTATATATGTCTCATGCGTTTCTATGCATTTTCATTGACGACTGCAGTATGACCGAAGACTGCCGTACAACGGTTTAAAGGGAAATTCGTTAGCATCATAGGGACTGATGGACAGTAATCATTTATTCCTATATGGATAGAAGTAACTCGCACAACAACGGCCCCAAATTCCTTAACCCATGTTGACGAGTGGCAGAGCTATTACGAAATCGCGGTCGCCCAGCGCGCACATCTCGGTGTAATAATAGGGCTGCCTAGGTCCGTTCTGAGATGATGCTTTGTGTTTCCGCTTCCGTAGGCTGGTTAGCTTGCACAATTAGCACCATCATATGTTCTTGTTGTTAATGGGATGTTACGCTGTGGGCGGTTCGTTCCGAGAAGGGACGAGCACGGGGGCCCCTGACCAGGCCGGAACACAGCGCAGGGCCGAGGCGCGCGGCTACGTCCGTCTGTTCCTCCCCGCGCGCCTCAACCCCTCACTTACGCCAGCCGGGGCGCTCTCCCAACCCCTGGCTAGGCAACACAGCGGCGCAGAAAACTGCGAACCGGACTACGCAAGAGCCGCACGAGAGGCGCCACACCCCCTCTGGGATCCCAGGACAGGCTACCTGGCCCCGCTTCGGCTGGCCAGCCTATTCGCACGCTCTCCCGCATATAGAACACCAAAACAAGAACAAACGCCACCGGGGCCAAGGGCTTTTGTTGTTGTTGTTGTGTCAGCGGGTTACCAAGCATCAGCATGTGTGCATTACTCTGTGTTGTGCTGACCGTACCGGCCAGAAACATGTGTTCCCCGCAACGGTTTTCCGCCAGCAGGCACACGCGATACAGTTGCAGGGCCAGGGGCTCAGGGGCGAATCTGCATCAAGGGCCACTAAAGACAAGGGCATTTAAGGACCTGCCGTGCAGAGGTCTGCAAGTCAGGGCTGAGGGCCCCCCGCAACCTCTGTGACCGACAGGGGTTACCGTAGTTTGACCGCAATTACTGTTAAGAAGTGCTACCCGGGGCTCATAACCTGTTAAGACCAGCAAAGCGCAGGACCCCCTATTACTGTGGTTACCATTCGCTGGTTTATGAGTGTCAATCATTTCAAACACCCTCCCCGCAATACTCTCTCGCTCCGGGCCTCCCCGTGCCTCATCCCGGTCTCCCATTCTCTGGGCAGCAGCCAGTGGGTATCGATCTGGCGAGCTCTCGGCAGCGCAATGCGCCATTCGGGGCTCATAACCTGTTGAAATCAACAAAGCACCGGACCCCAGCTGGGTCCTGACGGCAAGTGTTGTAGTAGGCATAAACCCTGGTCTCCTCCGCAAACGGCATCATCGCCTGGTTGCGCAACTTGTCCAGGCAGTAAGCCTGCCGCAATGTGTCCACCTGTCCGGTCGTGCGCCCGGCGGGTAGCGCACCCTGGGCTGCGTCCACCGCGGCCAGTAATAGCCGAACGCCATGGCAGCCGCAGAAGACGCTGCCTTAATCGCATCCCCCACCCAGGACTCCCAGTTCGTCGAGTTCACGCCCGAGTCAGCCAACACCTTCGGGACGTTGACAGCTGCCATGGCCGCGTCAATGGGGGCTTTCTTTGCAGCCTCGCTGGGCGCCCGGCCCAACTGCATAGGAATGCTTGGTCTCAGCAATTACCTGGGTCACCGCCTTGGCGTAAGCCTCCAGTGTGCCCAAGAAGGTGTAGTCGATGCCCCCACCGGCGGCCACGAAAATGATGTCCACCTGGCGCATCACCAGCAAGTAGGTGGCCATCACCCGCGTTGCGTGCAGGCAGGCGTGTGGCACTGCTCTTCGGACCAGCTGCGCGACACATCTGAGCTACCTTCTCATCCCTTAAAAACAAACTGATCCTTGAGACTGGGCAGTATGGGGTGGCAAGACTTGTGCCACAGGGTGTCCCTGACCGCATCCCTGTTGGCCGCCCACCACGGGTTCACTGTCTGATCCATGGTGTG